TAAATTTGAATCCACAAATATGGTGTTATTGCTGAAAATACACCCATCCGGGTGCATAAAGCTACTACTGACTTGACTTGAAGTGGACTATTAGTGTTCAGGAGGATGGGACGCGATAGACTTCCCCAAACTGAATGAAAAAGTAGTGCGTCACGGTGGCAGGGTTCAAACTCACAGGTAACTGGAAGAAGAGCGGCCCCCAACGGTCCTGCTGTTCTTGGCGAGGCATTTTAAGCACTCATTCTTTTATTCAGTTGAGTTCATCTTACGGTAGACCCGACACAATGTGTTAGGATTTCCTTTGTCGTCCTTGATGACTCATATAAATAACGGGAACACATATGTGGGCAGTATAAATGTATCCTTCTTTGCATCTTAGGGAGCCATATGGAAATGAATAAACCATTATGGTAACTCTCTGCTGTGGGGTTAGAATTGGCTGACCAGTCACAAAGGACAACTTTTAGTGATTCTGTATTAAGCATTATAGGGCCAATACAGGGCCCACAGAGGGGGAGGATGAAATCAGGCGGAAGTCGGTGATTGTATTGAACCGTGAACTTGCCCTATCTGCCAGTTTCACTGATCTGTTGAATCGCACGACCGTGGTCGCCCAAATCAACTTTGCAACGCATTCGGTTTTTGTTTGTGGTAGCGCTCGCAGTCGATGCTCGACCGTGATTATCATTTACAATTCCCCCCTAATTCCTTCCCCCCATGTTCCACATAGGTTCCTCGACATCTGTACGTGGGTCATTCCGTCCTAGTATTTGTGGGTAGCACCACCTCGGGAGCCAGCTCTGAGTCACCCGGACCGGCGGCTATTGGACTTACAGCATTGGCTCAAGCACTCTTCGAACTGGACGGCGTCGCATTGGTTCGCCGTGTCTATAATCGAGTTTCGGCCCCGCGACTGGGTGTTCTAACACCAGAGTTAGTGCTGTCTATCGTTTTTCTTTGGTTGCTGCACTATTATTATTATTATTATTATTATTATTATTATTATTATTAATGTTAATAATATTAACAATGGTATTAATTTTGTTATTAACAATGTTAACAATATTATTATTATTATTGTTATTGCTTTTATTTCTATCTTAGCTCAGCCCTTCAATAAACTTCTGTCCTGATCCGTTGTTGCAGGATAAAAGTTTTCGCCTTGTGATCATGTGCAACCCATTTGGGTTCTGGAGAGTAAGATCTGTGAATCCGGGTAGGCACAGCATTGTATACATTATGTATATTTTACTCCGGCTTTCAGGCAAGCATCTTGCGAACAACAATAATAACAATAACAACGTGGGGCAGGTGGGTTGGAATACAGGGCAAAATGGGAAGAAGGTGAAACAGTTTCACCTGACACTTTTTGATATTTTTGTGTGTGTTGTTTGTTGCTTTTTACGGGATTTCGATAAGCAGACTGTAGAGCATTCGCGCCACTGACTTCTATTCTGGGCGATACCTCTCAGCGTCTCTAACCAACGACAATCCTCATCCCTTTGACTTAAATGTAAGCATATATGCTTACACAAGTTATACAAATACAAAATGAAAACCTGGAAGGCGGGCTGCACCAACCGAAACCAAAGCTGATGCCAGCTTCTTTATGCCTCTACGCCATATCATGATCTGACCGCCTCGGCGCTTCTTCCAACCTTACTCGGCATGTGTAAAGAGAGCACGGAAAGGTAGTCGATGGGCAGGAATACTCAATACGTGACCAAGCCATCAGAGGCGGTGTAGAACGATTACTTCTGTTGGAGAACGACACAGCGTTGTTGGGTAAATCTATTTGTAGCATCGTAGCGAGAGACAACGGGAACCTCTTAAATGACTTGCGTTGCGCCTCGGAAGATCCGAAGCCGCATATTTGTATGTATTTCCGTTCCACTGCGCTCAGTTCTCTTCCCTGGCCGTGAGGCTCAATGGATTTGCGATAAACATTCATTGACTTCATGGGCTCCATCTGTCCTCGAGTTTGCGAACAGAAACAGAGGTCAGATAACCTCATACTCTGGAGTGCTTTTGACAACGAGCTGGTTCATGTCGGTGGGGGCAGACTTCATTGGTGTGTCACATCTATCGGAACTGTTTTTGCTTATTCACTCCCTCCATCCGAGACGGGGACGTGAACCAAAAAAGTGTATGGAGAGACCGGTAAGAAAAGGCCACTATCTGGCATTCTCTCAATTGTAATTCCGTTACCACTGGGTCAGAAAATAAACCAGAAGACCACATGGCGACCAAGGAGG